TGTACCTTGCCTGGTGTCTTCATAAGAAGAAAGGACATGTGAAGACAGAGACACACAGAAGGGAGAATGTCATGTGACGAAGTAGGCAGAGATTGGGTCCAGGCACACCTGGGAATACCAGAAGGTAGAAGTGGCAAGGAGAGATCCTTCTCTAGAACAGGGGTCCCCAGTCCCTGGGCCTTGGACCAATACTGGTCTGTGGCCTGTTAGGAACCGGGCTGCAGTGGGTGAGCGAGCATTACAGCCTGAGTTCTGCCTCCTGTCAGATCAGTGGTGGCATTAGATTCTCATAGGACCACAAACTACTGTGAATTGCACATGCAAATTGCACATGCGAGGGATCTAGGTTGCGTGCTCCTTAGGAAAATCTAACTAATGTTCGGATGTGAGGTGGAACAGTTTCATCCTGAAATCATCCCCCTACCCATCCATGGAAAAATTGTCTTCCAAGAAACCGGTCCCTGGTGCCAAAAAGATTAGGGACTGCTACTCTAGAGATTTCAGAGGAAGTGTGGCCCTACCAACACCTTAATTTTGGACTTCTAGCCTCTGGAACTATGAGAGAATAAACATCTGTTGTTTTTAGCCACGAAATTTGTGATACTTTGTTATGGCAGTTCTTGGAAACTAACATAAGCATGTTGAAGGCAACATGCTTACATGCCCCAGCCACACCAGCCATTGCTCTGTTCCTCCACCGGCCTGGCTCCTTCCTACTCCAGGGCCTTTGTGTGTGCTGCTCCCTTCAGAATGTTGCATACCCACCCACCCCCCATCACTCCCATCCTCCTCCCAAACTCAGCATAAATGGCCGCCTTCAGGGAAATTTGACCCTGGGTATTCCAACTTCTGCACACAGCAGTAGGCTGAGTGCATTCCTCGTAGCCCTGCCACATCTGTAGTTAACTACTTACTCATACAGTTGTGTTCTGCCCATTCCCCTGTCCAACTGTAGATGCCATGACAATGAGTACTGACCTGGCACGTGCACCAGCAGTCCTATCCCATGCAGAGCACAGTACACACAGGGATAAACTGCATGGATAAATGGTGTGCAGAAATCCTGGCCTGGCATTGGAAGGCTCAGGCGGCACGGGGCCTCTGCTCCCTTCGCAGACTGCACTCCCTCCCCTACCTTATAAGACCTTTCTCTCCAGTCAGGCCAGGCTAGGCTGGCCTCCTGGCTTCCCTGGCCCCCATCATTCCCACTCTTTTTGGCCAAGCCACAGCTTACTTTGTCTGCATGACCTGGCCTCAATGCCTTCTGAGCCTGCAAGGCCTGCATTAGAGCAGATTCAGATTCAGGGAAATGAGCCCAGAGTAGCAGGTAGGGGAGGGAGAGGGGACAGAAGGAAGTGGAAGGAGGTGGTTTTTTTTTTTTTTTTGGTAGAGACAGGGTCTCCCTATGTTGCCCATGCTGGCCTCGGACTCCTGGGCTCAAGTGATCCTCCCACCTCAGCCTCCCAAAGTGCTGGGATTACAGGCGTGATCCATAACGCCTGACCGGAAGGAGGTCTTAAGACTGAGACAATGTTGGAATTCTCTCTCTCTCTCTCTTTCTCTCTGTCTCTCTCTCTCTTTTGAGACTAGGTTTTGCTCTGTTGCCCAGGCTGGAGTGCAGTGGTGTGATCATAGCTCACTGCAGCCTTTAACTCCTTGGGCTCAAGCGATCCTATTGCCTTGAGCTCCCAAAGCACTGGGATTACAGGCGTGAGCCACCGTGCCCAGCTGGATTTTCTTTCTTTACGGCATATTTTAAACATTAAACAGGCCAGGCGCAGTGGCTCATGCCTGTAATCCCAGCACTTTGGGAGGCCAAGGCAGGAGGATCATGAGGTCAGGAGATCAAGACCATCCTGGCCAACATGGTGAAACCCCGTCTCTACTGAAAATACAAAAATTAGCTGGGCATGGTGGCACATGCCTGTAATCCCAGCTACTCTGGAGGCTGAGGCAGGAGAATTGCTTGAACCAGGGAGTCAGAGGTTGCAGTGAGCCAGGTTCGCGCCACTGCGCTCCAACCTGGCGACAGAGACAGACTCTGTCTCAAAAATAAATAAATAAATAAATAAATAAACAAACAAACATTAAACAAATGATACATGTTCAATGTAAGGAAAAGAAATCTTAGAAAACACAATGAGCAAAAAAGGGCAATAGAATAAAAATCACCCATATTCCAACTGCACAGAGGAACCTTTGTTAGTACTTTGTCATATATTCTCCTGGGTCTTTTTTTTTTTTTTCCTGAGGCAGAGTCTCGCTCTGTCACCCCGGCTGGAGTGCAGTGGCACAATCTTGGCTCACTGCAACCTCCGCTTCTCAGGTTCAAGTGATTCTCCTGACTCAGCCTCCCAAAGATGGCCTCGATCTCCTGACCTCATGATCTGCCTGCCTCGGCCTCCCAAAGTGCTGGGATTACAGGCGTGAGCCACTCCCTGGCCTTCTCCTAGGTCTTTATGTGAGCCTATTGTAGGTTAGAGAAAGTGTCCTGCACTCTTAGGACATGATTTTGAAAAACCAGACTTTCCAGGAAGCCTCATTGCTCCTCTGAGGCCAGGGCATCTATGAATGTGTGTCTTCCCGTGCCTAGTCATGATGTGGGGAAGGGTCCAGGGCAAGGACCCTCTGACCTGTATAGGAATGAACTATTGCTGCTCTGCAGGTGCCATTCTAGCCTCATTCTCCAGGCCTGCCCCGTTTTTGAAGCAGCTTACTGTAGCCAGAGACAATTCCCACCCCAAGGGAACTAAAAGCTTGCATCAAGGCCAAGGAAAAATTCCCCCTCTGCCCTGTGAAGGCTTGCTGAAAATCACTGACAAGAGGCAGGTTAACGGGAGGAAAAATATACAAATTTATTTGATCAGAGTTTTATGTGTCACAGAGGCCTTCAGAATGAAGACCTAAAGACAGAGGGCAAATTGTCTATTTTTATGTTTAGGTTCATCAAAGTATGGACACCCTTGTTGAAATATAATTGGACAGAAAGGGTATGTGCTAATGCTAATAGAATGAGTGGGGAAACCCAGCCACACCCGTCTGTCTAGATTCTTCTTGGCCTCTCTGAGCATGTGTTCCTTCTTTCTGAGTGTGGGGCAGGCCCCTCTCTGGAATGGGGGTTTTATAATTTATGCTCAAACAATGTAGTTCAGACTTTCCCTTCCCTTCCCTTCCTTCCTTTCTCTTGCTCTCTTTTTCTTTCTTTCTTCTTCTTTTTTTTTTTTGAGATGGAGTTTCGCTCTTGTTGCCCAGGCTGGAATGCAGTGGCACGATCTCGGCTCACTGCAACCTCTGCTCCCGGGTTCAAGTGATTCTCCTGCCTCAGCCTCCCAAGTAGCTGGGATTACAGGCGTGCACCATCACGCCCAGCTAATTTTTTGTATTTTTAGTAGAGATGGGGTTTCTCCATGTTGGTCAGGCTGGTCTCGAACTGCTGACCTCAGGTGATCCGCCTGCCTTGGCCTCCCAAATTGCTGGGATTATAAGAGTGAGCCACTGCACCCGGACTTTATTTATTTATTTTTTTTAAGATGGAGTTTTGCTCTTGTTGCCCAGGCTGGAGTGCAGTGGCACGATCTCGGCTCACCGCAAGCTCCGCCTCCCAGGTTCAAGCGATTCTCTTGCCTCAGCCTCTGGAGTAACTGGAATTATAGGTGCCCACCACCATGCCCAGCGAATTTTTTGTATTTTTAGTAGAGATGGGGTTTCACTATGTTGGCCAGGCGGGTCTCGAACTCCTGACCTCAAGTGATCCATTTGCTTCGGCCTCCCAAAGTGCTGGGATTACAAGGGTGAGCCATTGCCCCTGGCCTTTTTTTTTTTTTTTTTTTTGAGATAGGGTCTCACTCTGTCACTCAGGCTGGAGTGCAGTGGCGCCATCACAGCTCACTGCAACCTCTACTACCTCCAGGGGTCAAGTGATGCTCCCACCTCAGCCTCCCAAGTAGCTGGGACTATAGGCGTGTGCCACCATGCCTGGCTAATTTTTTTTTTTTTTTTTTTTTTTTTTTTAGAGATGGGATCTCCCTATGTTGCTTAGGCTGGCCTCAAACTTCTGGGCTCAAGTGATCCTCCTGCCTTGGCCTCCACTCACCTGGAGTGGATGTGGCGCAGCTCCTCGGCCAGGCTGCAGACCCCATTTAACAGCTGTCCCAGTTGCAGGGAGGCTAGGTGGAGCACCAGGCACTGAAGAATGTGCTCTGGTGGCTCTTCTAGCCACCAGTGCTGGGATTACTGGCATGAAATCAAGGCCAGAGCAAGTTGGGCTTTGGAGCAAGCCACCAGGCTTCAAGTCCCCACTCTCAATTACTTAGGTCAGTTATTTCACCTCCCTGAGCCTTGGATTATCCATCTATAAAATGGGGCTAGAATTATACCTACCTGACAGGGTGGCTGGTGAAATGATATACAAGTGAAGTGATATATGCAACACTTGGCATAATGTCTGGAACAAGGTAAACACATTATTATTATTACTATTATTATTATTAATTATTATTATTAGGTTGATGCATGGGATTTTATAACCTACACTCAAACAATGTAGGTTAGATCATTTTTCTTTTCTCTTCTTTTGAGATAGTTTCACTCTTGTTGCCTAAGCTGGAGTGCAATGGCCTAATCTCCGCTCACTGCAACTTCTGCCTCTCAGGTTCCAATGATTCTCCTGCCTCAGCCTCCCAAGTAGCTGAGATTACAAGCGCCCACCACCACGCCCAGCTAATTTTTGCTTTTAGTAGAGATGGGGTTTCACCATGTTGGTCAGGCTAGTCTCGAACCCCTGACCTCAAGTGATCCACACATCTCAGCCTCCCAAAGAGCTGGAATTACAGGCATGAGTCACTGTGCCAGGCCCGCAATTACTTTTGCACTTACCTAATATCATCCCCACAACCAGAAGCAACAGGCTCTCTTGGAGAAGTCACAGGCGTGGCCGTTTCCTGCAAAGAGCCAAACCCCCATTCCTCTGTGCCCCTCCTCTCCCACCAAGCGCTTTATAAAAAAAGCTCTTGTTACCGGAAATAACTGCTCATTTTTCCACTCCTCCCTCCTAGGTCACACTTTTGAGAAAAAGAATCTGCATTCTGGGAACCAGAAGAAAAATATGAGACGGGAAGCATCGTGTGATGTGTGTGCTGCCTTTGGCTGAGCGTGTGGAGTCCTGCTCAGTGTTGGGCACAGTGTGTTTGATCGTGGTGGCTTGAGGGGAACCTGGTGTTCAGAGCTGTGACTGTGGTGAGTGTTTCTAAACATGCTTGGTTTGGGGGTAGCATAGGGCAATGGAACGGAGTCTTTCTCAAACCTCACCCCTGACCCCAGGACTCAGGTCCAGCTCATCAGGGCTTTGAGGGAAGGGTCCTACCTCTCCCCAGGAAGAGGAAATACCCTCCTTCCCAGCACCACTAAAGCTGTGGTTTGGAGAGACGCCAGGGCTAGAGTGTTGTGGAGAAATCAATCGTTGTTAACGTCTCATTTTCAGGCTGCACTCAGAGAAGCTGCCCTTGGCTGCTGGTAGCGCCGGGCCTTCTCTCCTCGTCATCATCCAGAGCAGCCTGTGTCTGGGAGGCAGACGGTAGGCTCAAGATCAGCCTGGCAGAATGCCAAGCCTAGGGCCCCTGGCACCCAGAGGCGAGGGGGTGCCTGCTGGTTGCCCTATCCCCACTCCCTGAGCTCTGTTTTCCACTTTATTGACTAAGGTCCTCCCTGGGGTGAGTTCCGGGGACAGGGGAACCCAGGTCCCCAAGGGTTCTTGGTTGGGTAGGGCTGCACAGGACAGCTTCAAGTCTGGGTCTGGGGTAGTTGCTGCCTTCTTTCTTCACCACACCTGTGGTCTCCCTGGGGCTTGGTGGGGCATGTGTGTGTAGGACCTGCTCTGTTTTCAGCAAACATCGCAGAGACAGGAGCTTTGGGGTGACTAAGTCCCAGCCTGTCTCCTAGAGGTGTCTCTAAGAGCAGCCTTTGGGAGTGGCTGGGCACCAGGGAAAGGGGAACTGGGAGGAAATGCCCAGCCAGAGCCTCAGTCCCAGAAGGGCAGGCGGGCAAGGGGAGAATGATCATGCATTTCTTGGTGCCCACAGATGACCCGCTCCAGTCTGCATCCATCCATCCCGTGTCCCAGGGGTCACGGGGCCCAGAAGGCAGCCTTGGTTCTGCTGACTGCCTGCCTGGGGACCCTTTGGGGGCTAGGAGAGTCACCAGAGCACATTCTCCGGTGCCTGGTGCTCCACCTAGCCTCCCTGCAGCTGGGACAGCTGTTAAATGGGGTCTGCAGCCTGGCTGAGGAGCTGCGCCACATCCACTCCAGGTGACTCACTGCAGTACCCACGGTGACAGGGTTTCCAACATGTGTCACGCCCTTGATGCCTAGCCCTGCCCCTCCTTGAACCTCTCTGGCTGAGCTGGGCTGGGGGCTGGGGCCTGGCTGTCACCCATAGGTACCGGGACAGCTACTGGAGGACTGTGCGGGCCTGCCTGGGCTGCCCATTCCACCGTGGGACCCTGTTGCTGCTGTCCGGCTATTTCTACTATTCCCTTCCAAATGCGGTCGGCCTGCCCTTCACTTGGATGCTTGCCCTCCTGGGCCTTTCGCAGGCACTGAACATCCTCTTGGGCCTCAAGGTATGACACAGGGGGAGGTAGAAGCTCTGGCCAAGTGGAGGCTGTGGCTGGTGTGACCTGCCCTGAGTTGAATACTGGAAGTGGAACTGGTTTAAAGGTTGGAGTCCATGGAGTAGAACGTATAATGTCCTGGAACAGTGGGTTTGACAATGGCAAAGGAGGGATCAAGTCAGGAGCAGGTTGGGAAGCCTTGGAGGAGGAGGAGGAGGAGTTCACTGGGTGTCCTTGATGGAGGCCCCCCATCCCCATCCCGCTGTCCACAGGGCCTGACCCCAGCTGAGATCTCTGCAGTCTGTGAAAAAGGGAATTTCAACGTGGCCCATGGGCTGGCATGGTCATATTACATTGGATATCTGCGGCTGATCCTGCCAGGTGGGCCATCCTCTCTGCCCCCATTTCTAGATCTAACAAAATAGACACTAAGACACACAGCCTCTTGTGTTTCTTAACACACAGAACTCACTATACTTTACAAAGCGTTTTCATGTCTACGAAATCCTTTAATCCCAAGGCATGAAGGATGTCACTATGATGCCTGGTTTGCAGAAAGGAATATGGGGCTTAGAGCCATTAAGTGACTTACCCAAGGTCACTCGTGAATTCTTTTTTTTTTGAGAAGGAATCTCGCTCTGTCACCCAGCCTAGAGTGCAGTGGTACCATCTCGGCTCACTGCAACCTCCTCCTCCCAGGTTCAAGTGATTCTCCTGGCTCAGGCTCCCGAGTAGCTGGGATTACAGGCACCTGCCACCAAGCCTGGCTAATTTTTGTATTTTTAGTAGATAGTAGAGACAGGGTTTCACCGTATTGGCCAGGCCGGTCTCGAACTCCTGACCTCAAGTGATCTGCCTGCCTCAGCCTCCCAAAGTGTAGGATTACAGGCATGAGCCACCACGCCCAGCCGTAAATTATTTCAATAAATATTTACTGCATGTTGTGTGCTCTCATGTACATTTTCTTTTATTTTTTTTTTTTTTGAGACGGAGTCTCGCTCTGTCACCTAGGCTGGAGTGCAGTGGCTCGATCTCAGCTCACTGCAAGCTCCGCCTCCCGGGTTTACACCATTCTCCTGCCTCAGCCTCCCGAGTAGCTGGGACTACAGGCACCCACCACCTCACCCGGCTACTTTTTTTGTATTTTTTAGTAGAGACGGGGTTTCACCGTGTTAGCCAGGATGGTCTCAATCTCCTGACCTCGTGATCCGCCCGTCTTGGCCTCCCAAAGTGCTGGGATCACAGGCTTGAGCCACCGCGCCCGGCCTCATGTGCATTTTCTAATTCACACCCTGTGAGGAAGGAATAATCATTCCTGTTTTGTTTATTTATTTTTTAAAATAAGAGGGTTTTGCTGTGTTACCCAGCCTGGTCTCAACTCCTGGGCTCAAGCAATCCTCTTGCCTTGGCCTGCCAAAGTGCGGAGGTAACAAGCAGGAGTCACCATGCCCGTCACTATTTTAGATTTTTTTTTTTTTTTTTGAGACGAAGTCTCACTGTGTTGCCCAGGCTGAAGTGCAGTGGCACAATCTTGGCTCACTGCAACCTGTGCCTCCTGGGTTCAAGTCTTTCTCCTGCCTCAGCCTCCTACGTAGCTGGAATTACAGGTGCCCGCCACCACGCCTGGCTAATTTTTTTGTATTTTTAGTAGAGATGGGGTTTCACCATGTTGCCCAGGCTGGTCTTGAATTCCTGACCTCAAGTAAACCACCCACGTCGGCTTCCCAGAGTGCTAAGATTACAGACATGAGCCACCGCACCGGCCTTAGATTTTTTTTTTTTTTTTTTTTAGATGGAGTTTCACTCTTTTGCCCAGACGGGAGTGAAGTGGCACAATCTGGGCTCACTGCAACTTCTGCTTCCCAGGTTCCAGTGATTCTCCTGCCTCAGCCTCCCAAGTAGCTGGGATTTTAGGGGCCCACCACCATGCCCACCTAATTTTTGTATTTTCAGTACAGACGGGTTTCACCATGTTGGGTAGGCCAGTCTCAAACTCCTGACCTCAGGTGATCCACCCGCCTTGGCCTCCCAAAGTGCTAGAATTATAGGCGTGAGCCGCTGTGCCCAGCGTTTTTTTTTTTTTTTAAGTGCAGTTCTGAGAGATCAAGTGATTTATCCGACATCACATAGCTTAGAGAGAGGAGGAGAAAGGATTTGAACCCAGGTTTGTCCAGAGCCTGGACCCTAGACCACTTCACTGTGGAGCCTCTTTTTTTTTTTTTTTTTTTTTTTTTGAGATGAAGTCTCTTTCTGTTGCCCAGAGTGGAGTACAGTGGTGACAAGATCTTGGCTCACTGCGACCTCTGCCTCCCAGTTTCAAGTGATTCTCCTGCCTCAGCCTCCTGAATAGCTAAGATCACAGGCACGTGCCACCGTGCCTGGCTAATTTTTGTATTTTTAGTAGAGACATGGTTTCACCATGTTGCCCAGGCTGGTGTCGAACTCCTGACCTCAAATGATCCACCTGCCTCAGCCTCCCAAAGTGCTGGGATTACAGGTGTGAGCCACTGTGCCTGGCCTAAGCCTGTGTGTTTTATTCCTCTGACTTGCAGGCTAAAGCTGCAGCTCTTCCATATCTCATTGCTATCTCCTAGGGCTTCTGCTAGGAGACTGATCTGGGTACAGGAGAATGCTGGAAATGTCACTTCCCAGGGCTGTGCCTGCCTCTCAGCCCTGAAAGCCATGGTGGAAAGGGGCGGGGCTGACATAGACATCTGAGGAAAGAAGTGAGGGAGGGCAAAGGGCAGTGCAGTAAGAGAAGGGGTGGGGAGGGCTTTTGGAGGCGCTGCCCCTCCTGGCCTCCTGTATAATGAGGGTGCACTGGACTCTCCATTCTCTGGCACCTACATACTGCAGGGGCCAATGACCTGGGTCTCACTCCTGAATTAGGTGGGAGATAGGGTTAGCAGGAATGACTTCTTGGGCTTCCCTGCCTCAGGACTCCAGGCCCGGATTCAAACTTACAATCAGCATTACAACAACCTGCTACGGGGTGCAGTGAGCCAGCGGCTGTATATCCTCCTCCCGTTGGACTGTGGGGTGCCTGATAACCTGAGTATGGCTGATCCCAACATTCGCTTCCTGGATAAACTGCCCCAGCAGACCGCTGACCGTGCTGGCATCAAAGATAGGGTTTACAGCAACAGCATCTATGAGCTTCTGGAGAACGGGCAGCGGGTGAGTGTGCAGGGGAGTGGGGGTCTCTGGGCAGAGGTCAGGACCCCAGAACCCTGGGCCCTAGCCAAGCGCTGATGAAAATTCACTGCCCTTCTCTGAGCTGTAGTGTCCCTAGCTGGTCCCAGGTCTGGGCAGGATTCAGCACTGAATGATAATGATAAGTAACATTTATTGAGCACTTACTACATGCTGGATGCTATTCTGGGTGTGTCATCTGATCACCTCATTGAAATCTCACCACCACCCTATGGGGTAGGGACTGTTAGCATCCCCACTTTACAGAGGAGGACACTGAGGCTCAGAGACACCATTGGAAAGTAGACGATTTCAACTTGACTATACCATGCTCTTGACCATAAAGCTGCCCCAGACGAAGCCTGTGAGAACATCTGAAGGATTTCATGTGGGTGCAGGGGAACCCAGATCAGAGTTGAACCCCAGAGCCCAGCCCCAGACCTGATTCCTAGCTGGAGCAGTTGACAGCCTTGCTCTGCAGGTCTTGCCCTAGGATCTTAGGAGAAGGATCTGTGAAGGGTAAATTTAGCCCGGCCCTGTCCCTGATTTCAGAGTTGGGTATCAGAGGCAAAGGCAGGCCAGACAGCATAGACCCCATTAGGGTGGCCACCTCCCAGGACTCTATCGTTACAGGCTGAGGGAGTGGGGCCTCAGCCTGTGGTACTGGGGGCCACAGCCTAGACTGGATCCTCCATTCTCCATCCGCCTGGTCCCTGGCTTAGTCTGGTCTTCCTCTTACCTCCTCTAGGCAGGCACCTGTGTCCTGGAGTACGCCACCCCCTTGCAGACTTTGTTTGCCATGTCACAATATGGTCAAGCTGGATTTAGCCGGGAGGATCGGCTTGAGCAGGTCAAACTCTTCTGCCGGACACTGGAGGACATCCTGGCAGATAACCCTGAGTCTCAGAACAACTGCCGCCTCATTGTCTACTCGGGTGAGGAGTTGATAGGGTGAGAGGTTGATAGGCTGGAGGGCAAGAGGAGTCAGGGGTCCCAGGGTCTCCCAAAGAGTCAGAAGGGGCTACAGCAGCACCATGCCCTGGGCCTGCCCTTCCTTCCCTGGGAGAAGCCCCCCTCTTCCCAGCACACCAGATTGCTTTTTTAGGTCTTTGACTGTAGTCCCTCAGTGGAGCCTGAAGAGATGGGTTCTAGGGGCCCCTCACTTCATCTAGGATTCCAGAGGAAACAGAAGAGTCCCAGGCCAGTATGTACTGGGCACAGGAGATTGGGGCTGCAGCCTTGGCTCCACTACTCCCTCACTGTATGACCTCGGGCATGTTTCTGCTCCTCTCTGAACATCAGCTTCAGCTTCAGAAGTGAGAGGGTGGGGCCGGGCGCAGTGGCTCACGCCTGTAATCCCAGCACTTTGGGAGGCCGAGGCGGGCGGATCACGAGATCAGGAGATCGAGACCATCCTGGCTAACCCGGTGAAACCCCGTCTCTACCAAAAACACAAAAAATTAGCCGGGTGTTGTGGCGGGTGCCTGTAGTCCCAGTTACTCGGCAGGAGAATGGAGTGAACCCGGGAGGCGGAGGTTGCAGTGAGTTGAGATCGCACCACTGCACTCCAGCCTGGGCGACAGATAGAGGCTCTGTCTCAAAAAAAAAAAAAAAAAAAAAAAAAAAGAAGTGAAAGGGTGGAATTTCATTCTCTCTGAAATCACTTCTTTTTTTTTTTTTTTTTTTTTTTTTTTGAGACGGAGTCTCGCTCTGCTGTCTAGGCTGGAGTGAAGTGGCTCGATCTCGGGTCACGGCAACCTCCACCTCCCAGGTTGAAGCAATTCTCCTCCCTCAGCCTCCCAAGTAGCTGGGACTACAGGTGCCCGTCACCACGCCTGGCTAATTTTTGTATTTTTAGTAGAGACGGGATTTCACCATATTGGCCAGGCTGGTCTCGAACTCCTGACCTCGTGATCCACCTGCCTCAGCTTCCCAAAGTGCTGGGATTACAGGCATGAGCTGCTGCGCCCGGCCTGAAACCACTTCTAGCCTAGGATTGCATGAAACTCTAGTCCCAGTGGCTGGGGGGTGGGTAGGAAGAGGGGGTAGGGAGGGTTAGATGATCTTCCCAGCAAGTCCTCTAGGTGTGTTCGAGTGGGAATGTGTAAGATCCTCTCTCCACTCTCCCCCATTTCCCTGTTCCAGAACCTGCAGATGACAGCAGCTTCTCGCTGTCCCAAGAGGTTCTCCGGCACCTGCGGCAGGAGGAAAAGGAAGAGGTTACTGTGGGCAGCTTGAAGAACTCAGCGGTGCCCAGTACCTCCACAATGTCCCAAGAGCCTGAGCTCCTCATCAGCGGAATGGAAAAGCCCCTCCCTCTCCGCACGGATTTCTCCTGAGACCCAGGGTCACCCTACCAGAGCCTCCAGTGGTCTCCAAGCCTCTGGACTGGGGGCTTTCTTCAGTGGCTGCATGTCCAGCAGAGCTATTTCCTTCCACAGGGGGCCTTGCAGGGAAGGCCCTGCAAGGGCCTTGACATCTTAAGATGAGTCCTGTCCCCTTGGGCCAGTCGTTTCCCCTCTCTGAGCCTCGGTGTCTTCAACCTGTGAAATGGGATCATAATCACTGCCTTACCTCCCTCACGGTTGTTGTGAGGACTGAGTGTGTGGAAGTTTTTTGTAAACTCTGGATGCTAGGTACTTAGGGAATGTGCCAGGTGTCTTTCGTGGGGCCTTCCAGACCCACTCCCCAGCCTTCTGCCCTTCCTCTGCCTGGGGACGCCGAACTCTCTCGATGGTATCGACAGGCTCCCTTGCCCTTTGGCTCCTGGTCATGTTCCATTATTGGGGAGCCCCAGCAGGAGAATGGAGGAGAGGAGGAGACTGAGTTTGGGGTAATGAATCCCCTGGCTCCTGCCCTGCAGCATCAAGGTTGCTATGGACTCTCCTGCTGGGCAACTCTTGAGTAATCATGACTATCTCTAGGATTCTGGCATCACTTCCTTCCCTGGCCCCTTAAGCCTAGCTGTGTATCCACCCCACTCCGCCCCTGCCACCCCACTAGAGTACTCCCTCTCACTTGCGGTTTCCTTATACTCCACCCTTTTCCCTTTTTAAAGCACACCTCAGATTACCCAATGTGAGTGAGTCGTCTTTTTCCTGCTGGACTCTAACTGATATAACAGATGGGAATTACTGTCCCTGATGTCCAAACCTGCCTGCACATGCATGCCTCCCTGCACCCCTCCTTATCCTAGTACAGGGCAGCAGGGTGCTGGGTGTCATTTTCCATCTGGACAGAGCCTACTAGTCAGGCTGAGGGCACCTGTTCTTTCAGTGCCTTTCTCTTCAGTGAGAGGCTTGGGGAGCAGGGACCACAGGCTGGCCTGAGCCAGCACACAGATGATGCCACGAGGGTACACAGCTGTGTCCTGGGCAAGGGGCCACTCAAAGGAGCAGGTGACACTAACGATAGGTGCCAGATGAGAGAGCCTGCAAAGGGACAAGGGGAAAGAGTTTGTGTGATGAGATGGGACAGTCCCTGGAGGGCCTTGGACAGCACAGCCAACTGCCGTGCCGTACCTTCCGCCATCACGGTTACAACTGAGTCACCGATTCCACGCTGTGGTGGCGCAGTTACCCCCATCTGGGAGGGCAGGCAGCCTATCTCTGTTAGTTTCATTTGTCTCAGCAGGCTGGGCTCATTCCCTCCCTCCCACTTTTTTTTTTTTTTTTCTTTTTTGAGATGGAGTTTCACTGTTGTCATTCAGGTTGGAGTGCAATGGCATGATCTTGGCTCACTACAACCTCTGCCTCCAGGGTTCAGGTGATTCTCCTGCCTCAGCCTCCCTAGTAGCTGGGTTTACAGACATGCACCACCATGCCCAGCTAATTTTGTGTTTTTAGTAGAGACGGGGTTTCGCCAGGCTAGTCCTGAACTCCTGACCTTGGGTGATCCTCCCACTTTGGCCTCCCAAAGTGTTAGGATTATAGGTGTGAGCCACCGTGCCTGGCCTTTTTTTTTTTTTTTTTTTTTTTTTTGGTCACAAATGCTCAATATACATTTCTGAGTACAGCATCACTGCGGAGAAATGCTCCACACAGACACACATGGGTCAGAAGGAACTGGCTGCCCCTAAGGACGGCAGAGCCAAGGGAGTCAAGAGGGAACAGTCCCCACTCTTCCTAAGTATCCCAGCCACCCTGTCCCCAAGGCCTGAAGATCCTCCATCATCACACCAGTGGCTTGTATACTAGAAACCAGCCCAGAATCAAAGGCCTTTCCAATCCATCCAGTCCCTATCATGGGGCTTAGGCTGTGGAGTCTGATGGCCCCAGGTTCAAATCCTGACTCTACCACTTAGTACCTGTGTCTACCTAAGTATCTTGATAACCCTCGGTTTGCCCAAGTGTAAAATGGGGATAGCAGTGGCCCCTCCCCTGGAGGTTGCTGTGAGGAGTGAATGGTATCATATCTGTAGGTCCACAGAGAAGCCTGGTGTCCAGCACATAGCTGACCCACAACACGGGGCAGCTATTAACACTTTAGCTGCCGCTCCCAGATCCCAAAGGAGGCAAGCCTGCCCTCTGCACACTCTGCAATCCCCACCTCTGTTCCTTTTTATCTCCTGTTATTTCCCAGCCTCCCTGGCTGTGCTGGGGTCTTACTGATGCCGCCAGGGGACTTCTTGTCCCCAGGAGTTCCCCAGGGTACAGCACCAGAAGTCCCGCCATGAATGTTTGTCTGCATGTTCTTAACTGCAGACGAGTGAGATTCAGAGGTGCTGGGGAAGGCAGTGCCACCAGCAGGCACTGAGTCACCAGAAGGCCCAGTTTTGTCTTTCTGGCTCCTGGATGCATCATCCTGACCCCCCTGCTGACTAGACCCAGGCCCTCCCACTGCTGGGAGTGGTCCCCACCCCGTTCCTTCCTTCCCAAAACAAGTTCCATGGAGCTCCTTTTCCTTTCCTGTTTTCTCATCAGCTGGAAAGATCTGGGAAATGTCCTATGGTACATTCTAGGCTTATTCCAACAGGCCCAGGCACACAGAAAGTGGGAGGCCATGAGAGCCTCCCAAATCCCCCCTATCCCTTCTGGGGAGGCAAGACAGAGTCAGTGGGGGCCTCTGAAAGCCAATGTTTGAACTACAAATTGTGCTTGGGCTTACAAGGACTTTGGAGCTTGTCAACAAGGTCTGGGCCCTAACAGCCGAAGGACTGCCCCTGACTGATCAAGGAGAACAGACGTTCGTCACTTCCTTGAGCCCAGTGAGTCTCAGGGAAGGCAGACACCAGCTTCTCTGCCTGGGCTCTCCCTGGCTGGCCTTTGTAGGATGAGGGCCGCTCCACGGGGCCTCTGACATTCCTGCTTGGGGGAGGTGGTGGAATCTCCTGAGTTGGATTCACATTACAAGGGAAGGAGATTAGAGGTGCAATGAAGGGGCAGAGACTCAGAAAAGGAGATTCAGGGGTCTGGTGGTCCCTGAAGAGGAGGGAGGGACTTTGTGAGGTGACCTTGGGAAGGCCACCAGCGCATGTTTCTGGGCAGGGCCCTCAAGCTTTGATTTCTCCTGCCCACCACAGGGCTTTCTCTATAAATGTTCTGAGAGAGCAGCTCCAGCTGAGTCCAGTGTGCCCTTCCAACGCTCTGATGCCCAGGCTCCAATTTGCTTTTGCCCTAGTTCTCTGCCTGGTTTCTTGTTCTGAGCTAGGTCAGGTTAACTTTCCAAAGTCTCCCTCCTACAGATAAGTGACTTCATCGATGCTGGGCCTGGGTCCATCTGGTGCAGAGCAGGAGCCAGGGACAAGAGGGCCCCGCAGTGCTTCTTCAGGACTGTCTTGGGGGCCCAGTGCCCGCCAGTGGATGAGGTAGATGCCACCATCTGGCTTTGGGATCAGTGGCTCTGTAGGGAGAGTGGCATGGCCCTGGTGCAGCCTTGGCCCAAAATGGACTGCCACTATGATGCAGACTGCTAGCAGAACAAAGACAGCAACGATGATGGTGACCATGGGCAGCCCGTCACCTTGAGGTTGTTCCCAGATGCCACCAAGCACCTCCGGAAGCTGCCTCTGGGACTCCTGCCCTGATGAACTGTTCACAGCTGGAGAAGGCCAGGAGTAGTGGCCAGCCTGGAAGGAGAGTGGCAGAGAAAGAGGGTGACATGGATGTATACATACAGAAAAAGACTAAAATAGAAAGAGACAAACACCCAAAGGAACCTGAGGCAGGAGAATGAGGGCGGGAGGGACCAAAGACAAAGACAGAAAGACAAAAAGTCAGAGTAAAGACCTGGGGAGAGGTAGAGAATAAAGAGATAAACCACATGGCAGCAGAGACAATAAAAGAAAAGTCAGAAAAGGCAGAGTGGGATACAGAGAGGGAGAAAGAAAGATGAAAGGGGAAAGAAAAGGGCACATAAAAACAGACAGAAATAAAGATAGAGACAGAGACAGAGAAAAAAGAAACAGACACAGGGAGACAAAGACATTCAGACAGGGACAAAGAGAGTGCTGGTTTCATCCCAGTTCAGCGTATACAGTTTGGGCCCCCAAGTTTCCTCCCACTGTCCCCTCTTCCCAGGTCTCCAGCAAAATTCTTAAATAGATCCTGTGCCCTGGGTCAGGAGTCTTGGCACACTATGGGCTGCTGTCCCCACATCCTAGGCAGTGGGAAGAGAGCACCTGCTTCTTCAAGTCCTGGGGAAAGGGGGTCCTTGTCCAGCATCTTAGGCTCCCCTTACTCCCCACTCACACGGAAGACAGACAGGCGGTGCCCTGGTGGTGGGAGAGGTAGAGGTAGAGGTAGAGGGGACATGAACTTAGAAGGCAGGGGGATGCCTCATCCCATAGCTGTGCCCCCGCCACCCTGCCAAGGCCTCAGCATCAGGTTCTGGGGTCTTAGAGGAGAGAGGGTACCCAGTGTGGACTCCTGGCTCTGCCCACTATGGATTGAGGAAACCCTGTGCCAGTCTTCCTCTGTCAAAGTCCCAGTGTTCTTCTACCAAAAGCTGGGGGTCATGATCCATACCCCTGTCTGACTCCACCCTGCTGGATATCAGATGGGGGTGGTGGCACTGTAGTGAAGGTAGCAAACTGCAAAACTGTAAACCCTAGAGCTGAGGTCCTCACAGGCCCAATAAACTTTTCCTCCCCAGCTTCCCCTTCCCAGATGGGCCATCCTGGAACAGATCTTAGCCGGTGGAGCCCCTCCCTCTAGCCCTGCACCCTCAGCGTGGCCTTCCCCATGGGAAGGCCAGGAAAGGCTGCCCAGGACAAGCCCATGTCCTTTAGCCCCTCAGTCCCCCTGTCCACACTATCCCATCTCCCACATGCATCCCTTTTCCTGTGGAAAGGCACCCCCCTCTCCCTACCTTGCAACTATCTCTGGGTCCCAGGCCACAGAGCTCCCAGGGCAGGGGGTGGGGAAGAAGCTCTAGATGTGCAGAGGAAAAGGAGAAGCTGAGGCTGGTGACAGACAGGGGGCCCCTGCAGGAAGTCAGCTCAGCCTGGCAGGAGGGGGCGAGCAGAGTCTACCTGGTGCATTGTCCGGGCTGGCACAGGGCTCCCTTGGGACTGGCAGCCAGCCGGGTAAAGGAGGGCTGGCCGCCCTAGCTCAGCCCCTACCCGGAGCTGCCACGTCTGCGGGGACCATGGGCACACACCCTGTGCACACACTCTCACCGCTCTCCTGTGCTTGCACTTCCGGGAACATCTGGGCTACCCTGGGCTCTGCCCTTAACTCTGATAGTACCTTAATCTTCCTCCTTGGCGCCTCCTTTCATGCCCCCTGCCAGCTTCAGGAGCCTGGATGTGCCTGCCCACCCACCCTCCACCAGATCCCAGAAGCCTGGCCAGAGCCCCGACCCAACCTGCCCCCCACCAAGTCATGCTGGCTCCTCGCCTTAACCGATTTCCTGGAGTTACTGTCCTTTGATCTTTTCTTTCTAAATGCAATATTTCAAACACAATGGAAATTGCAGATACATTCTCTCTTTAATAAATACATAGTAAGGGCGGTAAGCGCGTCACTTCCTGCCGCTGCCAGGCGCGTCCTTCCGCGCGCTGTGACTGACAGTGCAGAGCCGCGGGGGCGGCGGCCCAGAGTTGGAATCGTGGTGACCAGCTGCAAGCATCCGCATT